GGGGGTTAATGGGGGGATGAGGACACATTTGTAATACCTTAACCAATAAAGAAATTAAAGATTAAAAAAAAATGAAGGGAATCTGCCCAACTCTTAGAACTGTTTTGAGAATTAACAAGATGATGGATTGAAGGCTGTACCTGAAAGGGCGAGGGCTATGCCCTCCATCTTGCCCCAGGGTAAGGGCTACACCCTCCATCTTGCCCCAGGGTAAGTGCTCCATCTTACCTTGGCCATGTGCTTGGCAAGGAGCTTCTTCCCGGAAGTCTAAGCCTCTGCTAGCCACACCCAGGAACAAGACACCGACTTGCGCCTGGCCAATTGGCAAGGCCACAGCCCTTTCTCCTCCCCTTACTCCAACCCCCTATAAAACCCCTCTCCACACAGAGTTCTCTCTCTCTCTGCTTCCTGTCGCTGCATCGGCAAGGTGGGGGAGCCGAGCTAGCTCGAATAAAGACTCTTATGCTTTTGCATCGGACTGGCTGGCTCCCTGATGTGGTTTCTTGGGGATCCTGAAATCTGGGCATAACAGTATCCTGAACTCTTTATAGACAAGCTAGCTATTTATCATTTTTATATAATAACTAGGACACCACTGAACTTGATTGTTTCTGCTGTTACTCACGTTTTCACAGTGCTATGTAGGACATTTCAACATGAAAACCTGGCTTTGGTGAGAGAACATCTAAAAAGAGAACGAAAACCCAATGAATTTTTCACCAAAGCTTCCAGCGCTTTGGCGTGTCCCCACCCATCTGTGAAAGTAAGGCATGCGGTCGATTCCACGGTCTGTCCAGTTGTCCTCTCTGACTGTAAACTCACACAAGTGTGGATGGATCCGAGCACCTGTTCCACTTTCCCTCGAGTCCTCTTGAGCTGGCGTTCTTCCCGCTGTCCTGTGGCAGGCTGTGCGCTCATCTAATGTGCTCTTTGGTGCTTCTTAGGAAAAGTGCAGGATCCCCTAGAAATCTTTCTCAAAAAAGAAAGGAAAATGTTCTCAAGTGGGAAACTGAGAAACACTGTCCAGAGAACGAAGCTTTTCAATGAATGAAAGGTTAGGACGTATGAATTCAGGGTTTGAATGACACCTATTCATTGAAATGTCCTGAGATTTTCTTTATGATCTAGTATGTGATGGATATTGGCCAATATTCTGTATGTGATGGGGAAAATAAATGTGTGCTCTTATCATTCAAAAACAGAAAGGTTAGGAGGAGACTTTTCTAACTGTTTCTCAAAATGAACTCTGATGATCTATTTTTTTTCTCAAGCAGGTGGCCTAGAAGAATCAGCGGTCACAGGAATTGTGGTGGGGGCCTTACTAGGAGCTGGTTTGCTAATGGCTTTCTACTTTTTCAGGTTAGGACCTTGTAATCGGGTTTAAAAATTCACTCTGTTATTGCCTTTGTCACTTGCCTTTGCATGATCTTTCTGTGACCTGCCCATATCTTGCTCTTACCCCAAAAGCATGGTGGTTGGAAGAACCAAGCCACCTGTTGGTGGGCCCCCTGGTGTGGTGGTCAGTGGGCTAGCGTGCTAGGGAGAGGGCAGGGGTTCCTGCTGCACTGCCCTGTGGGCCACAGAGCTGCTGCTATCCTTTGATACAGATATTCTGACCCGAATCCCTACCACCCACTCAGTGTGTACGTGGAGAGGGAATCTGGACAAAGCGGAAATAGATGGCCCCGCTCTCAGGCTTCCTCCGGGTCAGAAGGAGGTGCCTGGGTTCACCTTCTGGAGAGGAGGCGGCAGCTCCGAGCGGCCCATGCTCTCAGGCTGGTCGGTGCTGAGGATTTGGAGACCCCACACAGTTGGTTACCACTGTGGTTAAGCCCCAAGGCTTGTAAAATTGTCATATTTCTCTGTGTCCAAGATACCACAAGGGCAGTCAGTCCCTTTGTAATCTTTGGTGGTTGAGTTTGTGGCTTATTCTTAGGCCATTAGACCACAATTTCTTCATTTCTGCATGGAAATGTAGCTCTGGGTGTCTGTGGCTCTTGGTGGGAACAATTGTATTCCTGTTCCTTTGGCTCAGTGCACGTAATCTGATCTTTATCTGGGGCCTGTCCTGGGAGTTGGGGAGCACTTCTGTGGCCCAATAGACACGACTGAATCCACCAGGCGCCCAGGGAAGAAGGGAAAGGCTTGTTCTATGGCATTTCAGAAAGCCGGCCAATTTTCCTCCTTGAATAAGGTCAGGGCGCCTGGGGGCACTCTACTTTAATCTCTGACCAGGGTTTCATATTCTGTCACTTCTCATTTATCAACCCCAACCCAGATGTCCCCCAAGGGCATTCTTTGTAAGAGAAACCATAGTATTTTGTAGCCGACGGAGGTTTTATTACTACATTCACTTTCCCTTTACCCAGGAAGAAATACAGAATAACCATTGAGAGACGAAACCGGCGAGAAGAAAGAAACCTCGGGAAACATCGGGAGCTCCGGGAAGACTCCATCAGATCCCATTTGTCGGTGGCTTAAAAGGAAGCCTTTGCTTTCGGCCCGAGATTCTTTGGGGAGATTGATGGGATGAAAGACATGACTGGAACAGAGGCATGCTCTTGAAGAACTCATTCTTTTAAGCATTTAGTCATTTCGTTGTAAAATTTCTTTAGAAGCTCAGGAACTATCATTAGTCATCAGATGCCTCTCGGCCTTTCATCTCATGACAGGAAAATATCAGAATATAATGTCACTCTGTTAAATGTGCACACTGTTTCCAGGGCCTGTGTTGGATTTATGGTTTGAGAATCTGATGTCTCCCTATCTTGCTGGCTTTTGGGGGCATTTCACACAAGGCTATAAAATGGGGTTTTCTCAAATGAAATGTTTTATAGCTAGAATAAAATCATTTTTACAAGTAGAATATTCTTAGAAAGAATTTAACACCCAAGAAGAGGAAAATGTAATGAAATATCTCAAGGTGGGAAATAGGCTCGCGCCTCTCTCTAGTTCTGGCCAGCCGGGTTGAGTTGAGGACGGCTCTGTCCAATGTATGCATTCAGGTCCTGACTTCCTCTCTTGACAAAGGATTTCCTCCTGTCTCCTTCAGTGTCTCATAAAAGCTGCTCTGGACAGTTGTAACTATCACCGAGACAAGAGGATTTATACAAGAAAAGCATATCTAAAATGTTTCATTTTTTAAAATGTAAAAAACAAAGCCCTACTTCCCACTAACATTTTATTTTTAAGTATTTTGATCTTATATTTTGATATTAGAAAATGTGTCTATTTTTTCATTTTTAAGATTAAATTTCACTTATATTTGAAAAACATGGGTATAACAGTGATGAAAGATGCTTCTCTCCCCCAATGCCACCCCCCCGCCCCGCCCGTTGTCCTCTTCCCCTGGGCCAGACCCAAATGCAAACTGCTGCTTTAACTACAGAGACCTAGAAATGTCTTCCGATTGCAGACCCTGCAGGAGCACATTAATTTACCTGTTTTAAATGCACGTTGTTTTAGGGATAGATCCCTTCCAATTCTGGCCAAATGATGAGTTTCAGGATCAAGGGTGAAATGTACTAGAATTAAGTAGGATGTTATAAGGGGAGGCAGCCCTTTTTCCTCAAGAAGAACTTTATAAGAGAGTTAGAACTTGACAGTAAACACAGAAATGATAAATACATGGCATTTTACCAAAACTTACAGTGATGATTTGGGTTAAAAGAGGGAATCTAAAGAGCGACTATATTCCCTTTCAGTTAATTCCACAGAGTTTTGTAGTCATCCACTAGTATCCTGTATAACAATGGTTGTGGGTGTGGATATAAGGAATTTGGACAAAGTTGAATAAGTCTTTACTGAATCTCTAGGTTGCACCCAGTACTCTGCACACAGGTTTACATTCAGGCTGTCACTGTATGATTTGTGGAGAAAATGGACAGTGAGGGCAGAATGGGACATTGCTAGATTAGCTAGCATGTAATTAGGTCACTTGGTCCTTGATAACATTTGAGCATCTGGAAAATAGTTTTAAACATCATCTCACTGTCTGTAAAAGACCATGTGTAGGGAGGTCAGTAGTGGAGTCTGAGCAATTCCTGGGAAGTGGTGGAGGTCATAGTTCGTACAGGTGAGGGCAGAGGCTGATGAGTGGAAGCCGTGTGTCTTGGAAGTTGGTCCCACCTTGCTTCCTGGAGGAGCTGGCCCCTGTCACTCCTACTCCAGCCAGTCACAGGGAATGGATTATTTCTGGGTGAGGCACATGTTCCCTTTATGGCTTAAAAATGTTATGCAGGCAGCTGGAGAACATGATCAAAGAATTAAGGATGATCAACTGGAACAACGACGTTGTAGTTCTCCATGTTGGATGCAAAGGAAAAAGTACTAAATTTAAAAAGGATGGAAAAAGAAAGCAACAAAGGCAAGCTCCAGAAATCCTATCCTAGGAAGAGAGCCTGGGAAGTAAAAACCAGAGAAGCAAAGCGATGAGCAGCTCAGGACTCCTCAAAGCGAAGGCTTGATTCCATTTGGTTTTTATGAATTGAGAACTTATTTCTCTCTAGTTTTTATTTTTCAGTGATGTTCGTCATGTCTTTTAGAGATACTCATTTTCTTTTATCATGTGTTTGTAAAGAGACATTTCCATTTTGTGCCTATGTGCTTATTTCAGGGGGCAAACACTCTACCTGGTTGCAGTCGTTGGGTATAAACATTTCTAGCCTTCCTATAATTGACACAGGGTTCCATTAACTCACATTTTTAAAGCAAATATCTTTTATTTCTACTTTAGGTAGAGGAATAGTTCTGAAGTTAATATTATTATGTCCCCAGATAAAATTGTAAAAATGAGAATTTTAGTCTTTTAAAAATGGCAGAACAAATCATGAGGTTTCTCAGATGTGGATGCTATTCTCTTCCAATCTTGAAGCAATCATAGGGCTCTTAAGATTGATTGCTTATGTCTGCTGTCTATACTTTCTGCCTTGAACTCATCATATGACTTACCAAAACTCTCTTACGTTTTGGAAAACTCCATTCAGTTGGAAATCTTTGCAAAAAGTGTAGGTGTTTGGCCCAAGGTTACCCTGGGTTCAGACCTGTGGAGATTGTAGTTTCGGAGTAAGTTCCTAACTGCTAAGCAACATCTTTGACAACTAGTCATTTATCCTCCTCCAGGAGCCACATATCACACAGTCAAATAAATAGGGCTTTAGTTCTTAAACCATTCTCTACAGTTTTCCCCTGAAGGCCAGGGAGTTCGGGTTTAAAAAGAGGTCAGTGTCAGCTGGCCAAGCCAGCCGACATCGATGTCGGTCAAGGTATATACTTTTCACATATACTCATGGTGTTGGAAGTAAGTGTAGCTTTTATGTTCATCATTGTCACCTTCTCAGATTGTTTTCCTGGACTCAGAAATAAAAGCTTTCTCCAGAGGATCACTTCCATCCAGAAAACACTCTCTGTATAGAGGGTGCGCCCTCCCCCCACCCTGACCGCAGGTTCTGCGAGGAATCCCCTGTAAACATTATATTTCTTGGAAGCACCATTAGCGTGTCCTTTCCTGAACCACAGACACGGCTCCACTGGCTTTAAAACAGTCCTCTACGTTTCAGAAGCAACATTTCACGGAGGGAGGGGAGACGTGTATGGAAATAAATTCCTGAAATTCTAAGACTTGATGGCCAGACACTGCTCCCTTATTCACAGGCTTCTAGGGTCACAAACTTCTTCAAGGCCCCTGTGCCCCCTCTTTGCCCCCAATTTCCCACTTTCCTTCTGTCTGGTGCTGGGTTTCGGAGGGTGAGACAGGCTGTTGGCAGTGAGATGAAGGCCATTGTGCAGGTCTCACACAGTGACAGGAATTCAGAAGGGAGGTCCCCGTGGCGCCCCCTTCTTGGGAGTACGCAGTGGCTATTGGTGGAAGTCTCTGTAGGAAACCACATAGAATACTAGGCCATGTCTTAAGGGAGTGTTTCTAAAAGGAAAGGCACTCGTTTTGATGTTTCTTGGGACACAAAGAACTTAGATGCTGACTGGATGCAGGCAGAAAGCCAAATGCCCACCAAGAGCAGGCCCTTGATCTGCGTTCAGGGGCTTGTTTGGTTATGTGCTGTGGCCCAGTGCTTCCTGAGGGAGCTGATCATGGGCCGACCTTCTTCAGTGGGAAAGCGAAATTCTCTAAGACCAGGGCCTGTGTCCGAGGGGCAGGGTGGCAGCGGAGAGAAGGAGGTGGTGTTTCTTGGGGATGTCTTTGGAAGTGCGGAGTAGCCAATAATTTAGTCCTCTTCAACGGCCAGGCTCAGCTAGAAGCGCGGGCCACACCCTGAAAGAATCAGGAGCTCCATCCTCTGAAAGGAACAGAAGGTACAATTGCAAATTGCCTCGTCTTCCCCTCCTTCCTCCCGCACCCCACTCCCCCTCTGTCCTGGCTGCGAAGGTGCGCCAGCTCTTGCCCGCGTAGGCAGAAGCTTGCAGAGGGACCCCCGCACTTCCTCAGGGGAAGACGGCCACCCGCCCGCTGGCTGTGAGCGGGCAGAACGATTCCCTTCGCTGGCTCGCAACCAGAACCCTTATGTTAACTTGACCACACACGCCCCGGGGGCACAAGCCTGGGATGTGCATAGACGCCAACAAGCCTGGCCTGGTTCTCAGCATGCCGGTCTCCCAAACATCTCTTGCAGGCGTACCCCACAGCTAGACTCTAGGATTAAAACAACTTTCAAAAGGTGCTGGATTGGAGCTGGTTCAAATTTCTCATTAACCACTAACGTTAATTCCTACCAAAGGCAAAGCAATTCTACACCAGCTGATGCTGTTCACATTCGTGTCTTCAGCTGCTTCAAACACCGGGGCAGGGTTGCCATGGGAGCGAGGCTCAGAAGTAAAAATCCATAGGCTGTCCTCGCTCTCTGATGGGTCGGGTGTGGGGTGATTCCTGGGGGAGAGATTGGAACAAGCAGAATTAAGATTTAGCAAAAAATGCTGCATTGCTCTGATTCAGGAGTTAAAGATCTACATTTCTACGCAGCAAGGAATAAAGGGCTCATTCACGCAGGGTGAGTCGCAGCACAGCCCGCCAAATTGTTTCTCATTGGGGAAGAGAAAACGCGGCCACAGCACATGATAACTGGGCAGAGAAAGGACATGTTGGGCTTTGAAGCAGGCTGTCCTGTGCATTATTCACTACCAAAGCTGAACATGTTCCGTGTGGCGTGTCTTACTGACAAGAGAGCCACGAGGTGCCCGAGGCAGCCGGGAGAGGCTGGGCGTTTGCAGACCGTTGTGCTGGGGCCTGGGAACCTGAGCTTTGTCCCCTGTGCCTGGTGGGTAGTGACACCAAGAGGAGGTCCAGACACTGTGGAGGGTGCCTCTGCAGCCCTTGTCTTCTGGGCCGAGTTAGTCATTGTTAATGTAAACACAGGACCACCGAACAATACGACCTTACCACGAGTCCCGTAGAAAAGGAAGAGTAAAAGCGGCACCCACTACACACGGTTGATGATTCTAATGTAAGTAGAACTATCTGCATATAATGTGATTTAATTTATTGTTGTGTTGTGTAGAAGATGAGAATTAATGACTGTGGATATAAACCCTGTTTTGTATAATATATTTTATTTCCGGTGCAAACTGGTCCTTTAAAGTATCTACTTCATTTGGTGTTTGGATATAAATGTGTATGTGTTCTTGTAAATGTTTTTATTCAGCAAGAATGCCACATGCTCACAGTATAACAATGTGTTCTCATTAAAAATACATCCCACAGCAAGCCTTTCCTGTTTGTGATCCAGCCACCCCCACTGCCCAGGCCCATACCCTCCAGGGACCGTGTGGGCTCCCAGGAGGAGCTTAAGTAACAGATCAATCCGTGGATGGGGCGGGTTTTATTGTTTGCCTGGTGCCTATGAACTAACTCAAGAATTTTCTGCCCAGCAAAGGGAAATTTACAGA